CCCCCCAGCCGGAAGCCCCAGCTGGGGTTTCTGGGCTAGGAGCACATGGCTGCCCCGGCGTGGGAAGCTTAGGTAAGTGTGTGGGGGGTTACCCCGGGCAAGGAAGGAGCGTGGGGGGAAAGCAGCCCCTCCCCACCCACGCCTGGTGCCCCGCGCAGCAGCTGCTTGCAGCCCACGTGGGGCTGCCTGTGTCTGCTCCGGACAGCCCCATGCAGGCTGCGAGTGTCTGCAGCGTGGGGCACTGGGTGTGGGGCGAGGGAGGGGCCGCTTCCCCCCCCGTGCTCACTTTTCGCTGGGCTCCTTCCCTGCATGGAGAAAAGTGGCCCTTGCCCACCCCATGGCTGGCACCCCATACTACAAGTGCTCACAGCCCGGGGCTGTCCGGAGCAGGCACAGGCAGGCTGTGAGCGGCTGCAGTGTGGGGCACCAGGCATAGGGTGGGGAGAAGCTGCTTTCTCCCCCCCCCACCCCTGCGCTCAGCACCAGCTTGTAGCCCAGCCAGGCTGACAGTGGAGTGGGTTACAACCTGGTGTTAAGCACAGGGAAAAGTGGCCCCTCACCCACCCCATGGCACCCTGCACTGCAGCCACCTGCAGCCTGGGTGGGGCCCAGAGCAGGGCGGCAGGAGTGCAGGGTCCCAGCTGGCAGGGGCTCTGTGGAGTCAGGCCAGCTCTCCCCTCCCTGTTGGTGCAGCTCAGCCTGGCTCCACAGACCCCTGCTGGCCTGTGCCCTGCTCTGGGCCCAACCGGTGCCGGCCCTGGGACATTGGTCCCAAGACATTGGGATGTTGGTCTCAAGATGGTGACCAGGGGGTGGGGCCCCCATTCAAGGGGTGGGGCCATCCATGCGGCCCTTGACAGTCTGCCAAAACTGGGTAAGCGGCCCTCCACCCAAAATAATTGCCTGCCCCTGCATTACTAGGAGCATCCTGAATAGGTGCAAGGAGCTGATGCTCCCCCTCTGCGGCACTGGTCAGGCCGCAGCTGGAGTACTGCATCTAGTTCTGGGCACCACAGTTCAAGAGGGATGAGGACAACCTTGAGAAGGTCCAGAGGAGGGCCACTCGTATGGTTAGAGGCCTGCAGGGAAGGCCCTCTGAGGAAAGGCTGAGGGACCTGAACCTTTTCAGTCTCTGCAAGAGAAGGCTGAGGGGGGACTCTTGTGGCAGTATACAAATTCACTGGGGGGACAGCAGGGAATAGGAGATGCTCTATTTACCAGAACACCCCTTGGAATAACCAGAAAAAGGTAGCCACAAGCTGATAGAGAGTAGATTTAGGTTGGACATCAGAAAGAACTTCTTTACCGTTAGGGTTTTCAGAATCTGCAATGGGCTTCCAAGGGAGGTGGTGCTCTCCTCTACCTTGGGGGTCTTTAAGAGGAGACTGGACAGGCACCTGGCTGGGGTCACATGATCCCAGCACTTTTTCCTGCCACAGGCAGGAGGCTGGACCCTGATCGATTGAGGTCCCTTCCAACCCTAGCATTTATGAATTGACGGGTGCCTTGCCCCCTTGGTCACCATCTTGGGACCTGAAGTCCCACATTTAACCCATGACCTTTGCCACCAGAAGTCCCTCCCCTTGCTTCCTGCCTTCCCCTTAAGTACTTCTTGGGGGTGGTGGGGTGGCCATCTTGGAACCACAAAAAAAGCACATCATATACTAAATGTCAGACAGCTACTATAACATATTTTAATTTTATTTAAAAAAATATTTTTGTCCTGTTTTTATGTGTGTTTGCATAGTGTATGTAGAGGTGATTGCATAATAGCTCAAAAATAGTCTTACTTGAGTATATTGTGTGTGGGTGGAGGAGTGTTTGGGGTATGAGTGTGTATGTCTGGTGGAGTGCGGGGTGTGTGTGAGGGGGTGTGGCTGTTTGTGGGGGGGTATAGGGTATATTGAGGGTGTATGTATATGTGGAGGGGTTTTGGGGGGGGTGTGATTGTGGGGTTGTGTGTGTGGTGTGGGGACCCTCCCCCCAACACAGCCCCCATATGTCACAGAGCCCCCACTGCTGGTGGCAGCAACAGCAGGCCGTGGACCCTTGGGGTGCTCATGACTCGCGTGCCACTGGGAGGATGTGTCACGCAATGGAGTTGGCTGCCTTCCCCACTCCGTGCTGCCCCATGCAGGTCCTGGGACTCTGCTAGAAGTGGTGAGGAGCCTTGCTCCCTGCTTTCTGGCAGAGTCCTAGGAGCAGCACCTGGGGCCAGGGAGTAGGAAAAGCAGCTGGCTTCTTCATGCGGGGCATCCCCCTGGTGGCATGCGATTCCTGGGAGTTGCACGTCAGCCGTAGGAAGCCCTGCATGATAGAGGCGGCCCAGCCTGGCTCTGCTCCTTGCTGTAACGTGCTGCTCCTGGAGCTGCTGGGTGGCGTACCTGCTCAGGTCATGTGCACCTCGAGGGCCTGCTGCCTACTGCTGCTGCTGGTAGCGAGGACTATGTACTATGATGGGGTGTGAGGAGGGGTCTCCATACTCTTCCGCTCTCCCTCACACCCCACAAACACACTCACACCCACACCCTGCCTACCCAAGCTCCACACTCCGTGCTCCCACCCAGCTGCAGCTTTTTCCCTCCCTGTTGCCCAGAGCCAGCGCTGCAGCAGGAACATGAGGAGCTGCTGGAGGCCGAAGAAGCTGAGTAGGTCTCCTGGTGGCTGCTGCAGTGCCAGCGGTGGCCCTGCCTGGAAGCTGTGTGCGCTGGCTGGGGCTGGGGCTCTCCCATTCATAAGGATGGGAGCCAATCACATGGGGTGGGTGGGGTACAATTAATTGGTGGGTGCCTGGGTGCTGAATTAAATCATGTGGCAGGACAGATTTGGCCTGTGGGCCATATTTTGCCCACCCCTGACTTAAAGGGACTTCTGGGTTATCAAGTCTGATCCTTTGCTGTTAAAAATTATACAATATTGCTGACTCTTTCATGAGCTGATGTAGATCCATCTTAAATCTAGTAAGGAGTGGGAAACTTAACATTCAAGAAGGACATTCTACTAGTACCTCATATCCCACTTGGTTAAGCACTCCAGACTTAAGTTCCTTCATAATTTATATTTGTTCTTTTTCCAGTATAAAGTCCAGCAATTCATATAATAGAGAAATGAATGTGCCAGAGACAAAAACCTCCACTTCTCCCCTCCTCCCATCTCAACAAAAAATTGAAGATGAAGTTAAATGATATCCCTGTCCTGGGAAATTTTTTATGAAGAACTGAAAGAGTTAAAGCTAGCATCAAATGTACCAGCCCATATCATGCAACTTCTCCCATGCAGAAAGACAACTGTCTTGTCCAGCGTTCTGTGGTGAAACTCTAGTAATTGAAGCCCTACATTTATTTTTTCATGTAATCGTGACATCAAAATATGAAACGTGTCTCTGTTTGGTAAAATGCATAAATTGAGGTTACTTGGGCCAAAAGGGGATACAATATCTCCTCTTTAAAAAATAAAATGAACTTCAAAGGCATTTGAAATATAATTTATTTTATCATCTTCACCATTTTGAGGTCACTATAACAAAATTTTCAACTCAAACGTTTTGACAGCTAAGTGATGATATTCAGAGAGTTGATTTCTGAATGCTTGAGAAGCTGAGGCTGTCTTCTCACTGAATTATGTATGTTAAGTTTAGTTGTTACCATTTTAAAAAGTCTGGTTGCATTCTTTACCACCCTGTTTCTGTGCTTTTGGAGCAGGTTTGCTGGAGGAGGAGGATGCGTGCATGTGTGGGTTAAATTCTTGCATTTTTTCTACTGTAGGCAGGCTAGCCAGTTTCATGATGTACCAATCCTGTTTCATGGTGCTCTTGTTCACAAAAAGAGCAGTCAGAAGCTAAATTTGCGAGAGTTGTGGAGAAGGCGAGTTACTCAAAGAGTTAATGC